TGGACTTATAGAACGCTGTACATAAATATTTAGCAAGATCATTGTTGTTTTCATCACTATCTTTATCATAAAATAGTTTAAAAATTCTTGATGCGTCGAAATATATACAGCTTTAATCTACATTCAAAACATTTATTTCTTACTGTATACCTTTCTTGCTACTATAGTGGACAGGCACACATAGATAGAATTAGGAGACTGACATGTATGAAGATTTAGAAAAAGCTGATCCGGGTGAACTTCCATGTCACCTACCTGGAACAGCTGCGGCCCGTGGCACTCACACACACCTTCAAGAAGACGTTGGAGGGCCAGGTGGCGAGCTTCGCCCTATCGTCCATGCGGCATCTCATCGATCACCAGCAGTTTGGCAACCTGAAGAGCCACTCCACCATGCTGTACATGGTGTTCCTCATGGACGCCGCCCTGAAGGCTATGGAGCAGCGAAAAAGATGTAGCCTAACTGTGTCTAACTGATTTTTAAAAAGCAGTCAACGAGTTTTAGTAATAACTATCGGATGATTATAAAGTGACTATACCACCCAGCTATACCGCCCCTCATGGCATTCTTCCTTAGGAGACAGTGCACGAAATACGCCGGCGAGGCATCTGCTTGGCTGCCAACCACGTGTGAAGTGCGCCAGGGGGCATGCATCGGGCCAGTTATCTTTCTTGGGTCACCAACACTTCTATTCCACTTGCCTTGCAAAGTAAATTTTTTCGCCCACGCCACAATCTATACACTCACAACAAATAATCTATTTCAGCCCTAGCTAACACAACTCAGCTGCAATATGAAGAATTAAAACTGATCCCAAACCCTGGCAAGTGTGCGGTGCTTAGCATCAGTTCCACAGACGGGACGCATCGCTCCCAAGTGTCCGCCTCTGCAGCAACGAAATCCCCCAAGTCAACACGGCCAACGTGGTCGTCAACTCGAACCTGACTTGGCAAGATCACGTGTACCATTGCTCATGCTTTTCCGTGCGAGTTCTTTCGGAGTAAATGAAGACCAACTTATCCAACTGTACCTGCCAGAGCATCCGACCAGTACGCGCCTAGAGGCCTATAGAAAAGGGTGTGTTGCATCGTCCTCGCCCACCACTATTGCAGATACATTCATGCCGGCAAGGTGCGCACTACCGTGATTGGACGGCAGGCGAGGACAACTCATTGAGAAAAAGCTGGTCAGTAATAATAAAATCAATAATAATACTGATAATAATAATACTGATAATAATAATGATACTGATAATAATAATAATACTGATAATAATAATAATAATAGTAATAATAATAATAGTAATAATAGTAATAATAATAATAATAATAACGATAATAGTAATAATGATAAAACGATAAAAATAATTATTATAGAAATAACAGTAATAAGAGTACTAATGATACTGCTACTAATACTACTACTAAAGATAATAATGATAATAATGTAATGATAATAATAATGATAATGATAATTATAATAACAATAATAATAATAATGATTGTTATTATTATCATTATCATTATCCTTATTATATAATTTTATTATTATTATTATCATTTATCATTATTATTATTATTATCATAATTATTATTATTATTATCATTGATATTATTATTATTATTATTATTATTATTATTATTATTATTATTATTATTATTATTATTATTATTATTATCATTATTATTATTATTATCATCATCATTATTATTATTATTATCATCATTATTATTATCATTATTATTATTATTATTACTATTATTATTATTATTATTATTGTCATTGTTATTATTATTATCATTATCATCATTATAATGATAATGATAATAAAACTATTGATAATAATAGTTATTATTATTGTTTTAACTATTGTTATTATTATTATCATTATTATCATTAGTACTATTATTACCATTATTGTTATTATTATCATTACTATTATTATCATGATAATAACAATAATAATAATAATGATAATAATAATAATGATAATAATAGTAATAATAATGATAATAATATCAATGATACTGATAATGGTTATAAGAATAATAACAATACTACTACTAATGATAATAATGATAATAACAATATAAATAATAATAGTGATAATTATAAAAAATAGTAGTTGTAATAATAATAATGATAATAAAAAGAAGGAAAACAATAATGATAATGATGAAGATAATCATAATAATAAGGATAAAGATAAATACTAAAATTATCTTAATAATAATGATAATAATAATTATATTAATAACAATGATAATGTTGATAATTATAATAATAATAGTAATAGTAATAATAATAATAACAATAATAATGATAATACCAATGATAATGATAATAATAATAATGATAACATTAATGATAATAATAATAATAATAGTAATAATAGTAATAGCAATAATAATGATATCAATATTAATAAAGATAATCAAGATGAATAATGCAGCTGCCGCTGACAATCACAGTCATGGTAATAATCCGACGCGGATCATT